TATATTTTGTTTAGGAGCATATACCTCTGGCGTTCAGTGAAAAATTCTAACAAGAGGAAGCCAAATTCACTGGCAAATCAGGAATCCTTTATATGCAGTCAGCAGCAATGTGGAACTGTGAGGTTATATATTAGTGGAACTGGCCAAAACATTCGAAAATTTTAATTTCCCAGAACAAAAAGAGAGGGTCACATGCTTTTCTGTAGGCCACAAGCATTGCACACACCAGGGGCTCCTTACATTCCTCCATTTCCCTCCTGCTGTCCCCAAACTGCCTGTATCATTCTCCCTCTATTTCATGGATTCCTCCTGTATCCCCCACTCCCCATCTCAGGGCCTCTGTGTAACCTCATTCCCTTCTTTCCCCAGGCCAGGGTCCCCCATTCCCCGCATGCCCCCTCCATTCTTATGTCCTTTCTTTCTGTCTGGGAGATAAACCATTCAGTGTCAACCTTTTAAACTTCATTGGAATGAATGAAGATGAGATGCGGGGGAGGGGGGGTAGCTATTCTTGTGCGGGAAGGTGTTAACGGCTGCCATCAACCAGTGTTTTGAACTATGGACTATTATGTGCTCTTTCCAGAGAACAAATTATGGGCACACTAGTCCCATCAATAGCCTCAGTGCAGGGTGGGAAGCCCATTTTCTCAAAGCCAGCAATTATTTCAGGACTGATGTTTATGCCCATCCCCCTTGGGTAAAACACAGTTCTGATTGCCTCACAAACCTCCATCACTACAACCCCTCCCCAGTTGACTTACTAACACCAAACTGGTTAGCCATAAACCTGTAGCAGTCTGGGGTAGCCTGCTTCCAGACGGCTATAATGACCTGCTTCTGGACTCGTCTGGTCTCCCCTCAGGCAAGCTGCTCACACTGCTCTAGGAACATCTGCTTCTTCATGAGAAAGTTCTGGAACAATTGCTGGTCATTCCAGGTCTGCATGACAATGCGGTCCCACCAGTCTGTGCTTGTGGCCCTGCTCCAGAAGTGCCAATTGACATATGGTGAATCTGCAGCTATGGCAACAGGCATGAACTGCATCAGCTGGGTTGCAAATTCCATGGCTATATCCCCTTCCAAGAAGTGCTTTCATTAAAACAGATACCACTGTTGAAATGTCCACCAGCACCTCACAGATGCTCTGCCAGGAGTGACAGTGCAAGCAGGAGAAGATCTTCTATTAGCGCTGGATAGATGGTATTGTCTCCAGTTATAGGGACTGTGCACACCCAAAAAATGGCTTGGCAGGCCAAGAGCACTTTCAGTCAAGTGCGGTAGGTTGGACAGATAAAGTCTCCAAAAATGCATTATGAACCAAGCCCTAGGGCAGCTAGAGCTAGCAAGGGGCACTAAGAATCTGGGATATGCCCCTAGAAATCAGTGCCTTGCAAGCGCAGGCTTGCAAAGAATGGATTTGCGGGAACAAGTCACATGGACCCAGTGTAGAAATAAGCTTCAACAAGGTCAATAAGGGTAAGTGTGTGTTTTAACCAGATGCAAGGGACTCCATGTGTCCCTCATTTCTCCCTTCTGATTTTCAGCAAAATCACTAGGGTTCTGACCATTGATACCAAAACATTCCTTGAAATTTTGGAATTGATCAGATATTGCATTCTAAAGTTACATCCAAACAAAAAATGCTATCGAGTTGAGCGCAAGACCTCACTTCACTCGGCCATTTATAAAATAACCTTGAGTAACTTCATTAACCCTACCACGAATAGGTAATTTTTTTTCTAAAATGGAACAAAACCATGTCTTTTACTACTAGCTATTGCAAGTTACTGTTGACCAGAGAAAAGTCAAAGCTTGAAAACTGGGTTTAAGAAAACATGGGAAATTTTATCCATGAAGGAAAAACTAACTAACTAAAAATTATGCTTATTTATTTCTGAAAATATAAGTGGGTCTTGGTAGCCATCTGGTGTTAAACTTTTCTCCTTAATAGAGTTTTGTTGCACTGTTTATATTTTGTTCCATTTCTTATTTTACTTATTTAAATATATATAATATATTTAGTTTGACCCACGTAGCCTTACTTACGCCTTGGCATATGGAACACTTAAGTGAAAGTCATTTACATAGTTCACTTGTTGCTTTAATAAAAATATTCTATTTTTAAAAATTGCATGTGTTGATTGAGAGGGGATCCTTGTTCTTCTTCATGAGATGCTACTCAGAAAATAAAAACCCCTCCTCCCCGCACACTATATTTAACTGTAAGGAGTAAGCTCTTGTTGGTAACAGAACCAGTATTTTTGGAAGCCCATATATCAAAGATTAAATTGTTTACTGTCCTAAAATCCCAGAACTCTTCTTAATCCACCATGTTTTTTGTTGTTTTATACTGCTAGCTTCAATATCTTTTCCCCACAGCCCCCAAGATGTAGAACAGTGACATCCAGAGGCCAGCTAACACTTTATGCTTAGAATTCTCATGCCTGGGTTTCTGGGCAAGTTATTTGTTCATACTGTTATTATATTATCCACAACTGAATGGTATTCAGCAACCTAGTGGAAAAAATCCATCATCTTGTCCAACACAAAGATTAAACTGGTAATCAACCAGTAAGGTGAATGGATGACTTGGGCGTATGGAGAACCTTGTAAAAGATATATTGACAGACTGCCAATAAGGAAATACTTAAATATGAAATATATAAAATCAGCTAGTCCAGTTGATATACATGATTATGAATGGAAACAACTGGCTAATGAACTTACCAACAATTTACTTCTGTAAAACAGATGTGGGAGTATCTAAATGTGAAAAATCATAGTAATATAATACTGTGTCGAAAAATAAAAAGGGATGATACCGGTAATTATTTGCATGTATTATTATTGCTGTTCAGAGATGAGCAATAAAAATGATGTGGGACCTGGTTTTATGAGAAGATTAAAAGAGCTAAATATGTATGACTTTGCTGAGCAAAGAGGAAGAGAGGGGAGACAGCAGTCTACCAGTAACTAAGGGCCGTAAACAAGAAAAGGAATTATTTTGGCAAGAGGGAACTACTAGGAATAATGAGATGAAATTATAAAAACAGAAAATGTAGCCCAAATACCAGGAAAAGCTTCCAATCAGGATGTGGAATAGTTTTCAAAGGGAAGTGGCGGAAGCCCTATTTCTTGCAACACTTATGATTAGACTGGAGAAAGCATTAACAAAGCTGGCTAATCTACAATCAGTAACTCTTTTCCATATCTGGCTTATATGGTTTTAAGTGCAATGGTTTTTGAGCACACATCTATTTCAAACCACCACAAAAATGAAGACGAAGTGAATAATATTATCCATTACCACTTACCAGTCTTCAGTGTAGAGCAGTGGTTCTTAACCTGGGGTGCACGCACCCCTGGGGGTGCGAGATGCTCTTTCTGGGGGTGCGAGACATGCCAGTTTTTTTAGAAGGTAAATCATTGAAAACACAAATTAAACACAGGCATGTAAGTACAACTACTTTGTTTCATCAAACCTATGTATTTATTAACATTATATATTTTTTTAATGATTACTGTAATATACAAACAAAAAATATATGTAGGTTTGAAGAATTGACCTACTTCAACGATTTTTGATAAGGGGTGCGAGAACATATTTTGAGAACCAAAGGGGTGCAGGCTGCAGTAAAGGTTAAGAACCACTGGTGTAGAGGATAGCCCACTTTGTTTAAAATCAGGTTTTATAAAACTGCAGAAAAATATTTCAATTAATGTTTATAAGAGTTTAAATTTAAACAGTCCCTTGCAGTGCACACAACCCAAATATTGCAGCACTATATTATTCATTGTATGTGGAAACCAGAAAGTGGAGAGGATTAGTGTTTTCATGGCCCAAACGGAGCAAAAAAATAAAAACAGCATAAATAGCAAAGATGACTTTAGATGTAAATGTCTATCAGTCATCATTGGTAGAGATCTTTAAAAATATTTTTACTCAACAGTGTGAACATCTGACCTAGTTGAGTCGTATCTTCTTTCCATTTCTTATTTTAGGATGCTCAAGATTTGGCTAAATCTAATAAAGCTCAGCCCCATCCTCTTTCTTAAAGATTTTGAGCAGAAATGCAATCAAGATGTTTTCCCCCCGTTTGTATACATCAAACTTCAACAGAAACGTTCAATAGATCCTGATTCAGCAAAGTACTTTAGCATCTGCTTAACATGGTCTCACTGACAAGCATTTATTAAGTAACATTTCTTCCGTATGAACTTTATTTTATTCAACCCATTTCTGAAGAACTTTCACTTTAATTTGCCTCTTTTTGAATTAGTTGTTTCTCAGGCAGTTATGAAACAAGTGATAAGTAAATTACGTATTTTAAAAACAATAACTTTACAGTGAAACAACCAAAACCAGGGAACAGTATAGGTAGAAAAAAGCTTTAATATGAATTTGGAACTTTTTTTTTTTTTTTTTTTTAAACTATGTACATTAACACTTCAAATGTTGAAAGCATAGGCTTAACCACAAGAGATAAACTGCCACTTAAAACCCTTTTTCAGGTAAAGTCAATTAAAAGGGTCCTTCACTTATTTAACCATCTTACATTTTCTTTTAAACAGGGAAGGGGGGTTACACAAAGTACTCCCTCTTCCTGCCCCTCACCAACCTTCACCACCAGGGCTGAGCATTCTGAAGTGTAGTAGGTTTCAAAATATTTGCATTTTGATTTCACTGTTCCCAATCCTAAGATCTTATGTTAGCTACACAAAGAGCACTAAGTGCTAAAACAAACACCACATTAAAACCTTAACAAATTGGTTTTATGTATTTATTTTTTGCTAAGGGAGCAGGTTTTGGACTATGGAAAAATAGGGAAAACTAGTAATTTCAACATATATATCGCAATCCTTTGCTGTCCCCAGAAAATCTCATGCCTGCAATTTTTTTATATACAGAATGAACGGACAAATCTGTTTCTATTGTTGAATGCCCATAACAAATATTTAAACAAAAATATTTTTCACTTCCTTGCAGTTATAAGTTTGACTTTTATTTCAATTATAGCACTGATATTGCACTGCATTTTTAAGTGTGGAGCACATAAACATTAAACATCCAAATGGAATGAAAGTCAGAGTGCATAATTATCTTGTAAACTGATAAACTTAACTGTGAAATGTAGAAGTCAATTGCCTCAGGGAAACAGTTGTTAGCCACATTAAAACACTATGAAGACAGACAAATCCTTAAAAATCCCCCTTTTTTGCAAGACACAGACTTGCTGGAAGACTTAATACTTTAAAAATATCAATGCGATGATTATGAAGGAGACTCTTAGGTTGTCATGACATTTCTATACCAATATTGCCTGCAAACACTATGCTTTATCATGCAGTTGACACTACTTGGTTTAGAAAGCAGCGTTCAAAGGCCGATACAGGCATAGTTAAGTTCCAACTATTTTCACTTCCCCAAAACAGGATTTTTGCAGAAAATCAGTCTTTTCTGCTGCAGATACCCTCCTTCACAGCACCTTATGTTAAACTCCCTTAATACTCTATTTAGCTGCTGAGGATCTATCACTTGCAGAAAGGGAGTTTACTTTCTGGTCTAGTTGCATTGCCCCCAGACAGTGAGTTTACTGAAATTTTGGTCTTCAGTTGTTTGAACTACAGCTGGTTTGCTCTTCAGGAGATGCAGAGACAGGAGTTTCATCAGTTCTGGGACGTTTAGATGCTGGGGGATTGTGCACAGGATCATCAGAGGGAGAAGGTATCTCTGAAATATTGGGAAATAACGAAATTCACTTAGTTTGATTTCTTGTTTATTATTTTTCATTTAAAAAAAATTAAAAATGAATTTAGCACTCATGAAAGATGCTGAGTGGACAGCCCTGGATACCAAACTCCTTTATCCACTGTACAAGCATCGCGCAGGAGCAGCAGTGAAAGCTGGCCCGTACAACCCACCAGTCTGGTGTGGAGGTGAATACCTCAATGCCAATTCATTCCTGGGTGTTGAGACTGACAGCCAGGATTATAATTAACATCAACTGTGTTCACAGAATCATAGAATATTGGGGTTGGAAGGGACCTCAGGAAGTCATCTAGTCCAACCCCCTGCTCAAAGTAGGACCAATGTGTTGCTGATGACTAATGTGGACATCTGTCCACTAGCAACTGGACTGAGAACAATAACTCACTTTACATTGTCCAAAGTACCATCAAGCAGCAGCAGCTTCCAAAACTGTGAGTTGGAGACACAAGTTTCTGAATTTGTCATTAATCCCTCTGTATTTATGTTTGAACTAAGACTTTCATATTTGCCAAACTAGTCAAAGATCCATAACAATGTAATTTGGAATGAAATGGCTGAGCAGCAAATCTTTATATATTATGACCAGAAAGTGGCTTACCATGTTGAATTGCTTCTGAGGAGGAAGGTGTGGACACTAGATTTGTGTGTGTTGAGTTTGGAGTGTCTGTCTTCAGAGGAATCAAGTTTATTCTCCTTAAAAATAAAACAGAGATACAATTCAACTGCTTTTAATGCCTCACTTCCACAAATTCTTCTTTGAAAGGTACTGTACAGTATAATTATTTAATTACTGCTTCAATTAACTACAGTGGTATAGATGTGCTTTACACACACACACACTTTCCCTGGCTACTTTTGGTATGGGATATTCTGAACTGAAAATTTAACTTGTAAAGACAGAAGTGTTTTAATTATTAGACACTTTCCTTGAATGAGTATATGTGGATATATAGCAACACAGTGATTCTTGACTTCAAAACATGTTATATATATGAAAGATTTAAACATTAAAATTGGCTGCTAAGATAAGGTTTCTACTCTGCTCTTTAGGCATGTCTACACTTACCTCCGGAGCGATTGATCCAGCAGGGGTCGATTTATCGCATCTAGTGAAGATGCGCTAAAATCGACTGCCGAGCGCTCTCCTGTCGACTCCAGTACTCCACCGGAGTGAGAGGGGGAGTCAACGGGGGAGCGTCAGCAGTCGACTTACCGCAGTGAAGACACCGTGATAAGTAGATCTAAGTACGTCGACTTCAGAACAACTTAGATCGATTTCCTCCCCAGTGTAGACCAGGCCTTAAGAAAGTCCTTCCACTGTAGTGGAATCTCCTATCTATACCTCCACTGGACTGTTCTGACTTTGCCTCTTCTGGGGGAAATGCCAATTTTCTGCTGGATTACGCTTTCTTCTGCGGATGTTTGTTGACAAGCACTGTTAAAAAAAAGTACACTTCCCCAGCAACTTATTGCTTGTGCTTTTCTTCTGTTAATTTTCAAATGGCATGTCTGGTAGATTTAAGTATAAAAAATGGGGCAGTGTGTGACAAACACGGTAACTAAACACTTCAGTGTTTTCTTTTTATTTTTGCAGACAGCTGTCTCTGTGTTATGGCACAGAGTCCCAGAAATGTAGGGCTGGAAAGGATCTCGAGAGGTCATCAAGTCCAGCCCCCTTCACTGAGGCAGCACACGTATACCTAGACCATCCCTAACAGGGGTTTGTCCATGCTGTTCTTAAAAACCTCCAGTGATGGGGATTCCACAACCTCCCTTAGAAGCCTGTTCCAGAACTCAACTATCCTAATATCTAACCTAAATCTCCCTTGCTGCAAATTAAGCCCCTTACAACTTGTCCTACCTTTAGTGGATATGGAGAACAACTGAGCACCAGCCACTTTATAACAGGTCTTCACATACTTGAAGACTTATCAGGTTCTCTCCTAGTCTTTTCTCAAGACTAAACATGATCAGTTTTTTAAAACCTTTTCTCATAGCTCATGTTTTGTAAGTTACGTGGGCATGTGAGCGTACTGTAATTCAGTCTCTACGCAAAAGAATTAATGGACACAAATCTGACATCAGGAATCATAATACTCAAAAACCAGTGGGAGAACACTTTAACCTGTCTGGCCATTCTATGACAGACCTGCGGGTGGCTATCTTAAAACAGAAAAACTTCAAAAACAGACTCCAACGAGAGACTGCTGAGCTGGAATTGATATGCAAACTAGACACAATCAACTCAGGGCTAAACAGGGATTGGGAATGGCTGAGCCATTACAAACATTGAATCTATCTCCCCTTGTAAGTATTCTCACACTTGCTTCTTATCAAAGTGTCTGTACTTGGCTAACTTGATTATCACTTCAAAAGTTTTTTTCTCTTACTTAATTGGCCTCTCAGAGTTGGTAAGACAACTCCCACCTGTTCATGCTCTCTGTATGTGTGTATATATATCTCCTCGATATGTTCCACTCAATATGCATCCGAAGAAGTGGGTTGTAGCCCACGAAAGCTTATGCTCTAATAAATTTGTTAGTCTCTAAGGTGCCACAAGTACTCCTGTTCTTTTTACTGTAATTCTGTATTTCCTGGTTTTCTGCAGTTTGAGGTTTTCTGAACTCGAAGCTCTGGAAGGACATGGAGTTGTCACTGGGAAACCTTAACTCTTCATGAACGAAGGTTTTTTGCAATTTAATTTCCTAGGTTATTTTTTTAAACAGAAAGAAAACTAGTTGGTAGGAGTTAGTGGTCACTGGCAGTTGTAGATAGCATGCAGGCCAAGTGGACTATCAGTCCTGGCCCTATACCCTTCTCCCCCCACCACTCAGCCCCACTAACCAGCCCTGTCCCTTCCTGTCTGGCTGCCCTCCCAGCTGCCCCCCCTCCCCACTATTTTGTCCAGGCTCCCTCCCACCCCATATGCAAGATCGGTGGGAGATGTTTCTGATATGTTCATGTGCCAGTGTACCCAGGTTTGCAACTGGACCTGGTCTTGGAATCCAATCTTCCCCCTATGGATGACCAGAGGACCCCAAGGTTCTTTTGAGAGCCACCATAACTTTCTGAAAAGGAGCTGTATTCTGTGTACTGCTTGGTCAGTCTGGGTTTTCCCTCACGTCTCCCACCCCAACTCACCTGAGGAGGGGATAGGGAGAACAGTTTAGACCCCTCTCCAGAATCTGGTTCACATGAGGGGCACATGGAGGGGGTCAGACCCCAAAAACATGGGCAGGGGTTCCCTAGATCCCAGCACACGCACAGGGGGCAGGAAGCAAGGCTCAGACACCCCCCAAGGAGGCAAGACCCCCCCTATCTGAGCTCACATGAGGGGAAGCAGGGAGAGGGGCTTCCATTCCCCTAAGGAGGCAGGGACCCCTCAGATCTTGATGCACACACGGGTGGGCAAGGAGTGGGGCTCAGACACCCAGGGAGCAGAGCCCCCCCCAAACCCAGTTTCATGGGGAGGGATAGGGACCCCCCCCCAAGATCCTAGCACACATACAGAAGTAGAGAATGTGGGGCAGAAAGGCACCCCCGCCCCTATTCTCTCACTAGACTCCATGCCATTCACCCCATGTATACCTCACCTGCTACCCCCAACCTTTCACCTCCCATCCCCATTTATCCCCCTCCCCACAATGCAAACCTAAACCCTTCTCACCCCTTCCCCCACACATGCTCCCCCTCCCCGCCAGCAAACATTTTTCACCCCAAAATAAAAAAACCCCCTCTAAGATGGATTTTAGCAATATGCCACCACCCTCTTCTAAATTTCTATCCAAGGGAGGGGGTGAGGGACTCAAACTGACATTGTCTGGATGGGTCAAGTTCATACTACTGCTTATCCCCTGGAGCGATCCAGCTAGTGTGAAACTTTGAAGGCTAATAACTAAGGCTGCGAATCATTCATGGAGGTCACGGAAGTCCTCCATGAATTTTGCAGCGCTGGTGCGGCTGACCCCAGGACCATCCCAGCAGCTGGGGAAGCCCTGGGACCAGCCACTGCTCTGGCAGACTCAGGCAATGGTCCCGAGCGCTGCCCTGGAGCAGCGGTCCGGAACCAGCAGCGGCGGGGCTGCGGGCTGCCCACTGCCCAGACCGGCAGCAGGGCCCTGGGCCGTCCCCCACCCCCTCAGCAGAAGCGTCGCCCATGTTATTCCCCCCTCCCAGCAGGTAAGATTTAGTCCCAGGTATTTTTAGTAAAAGTCCTGGACAGGTCATGGGGCTGTGACTTTTTGTTTATTGCCCGTGACCTGTCCAGGACTTTTACTAAAAATACCTGTGACTAAAATATAGCCTTACTAATAACCTGTTAACTTCTCTGTCCATGCATGCATGGCACAATCTATTAGTCGTGCAGATAGACTGGCGAGTTGTCACATGTCTAACTGCAGAAGTAAAATCTTTTTCAAGTAACATTTTCATTTGATTTTCCCCATAGGCCTGGTGGGTGCCCTGCACTCTACTGGGGTAACCCTCGAGCATCTGGGATGCTTGGTGATGATCTGAGCCTCGGTTTGATCTGTATTTGTGGACAGAATGACAGGTTACCAGAACCTGTCAATTTGAAGAAAAGCTGGGGGTAAGGGTTGTGAGAAGGGTCTGTATGTCAGAAACCCCTTAGTTAAATGGCCCTAAATTTGGATCGCTAACAGAATCCCACATCCCTATGAGGTACACCAAAGCCAATCTGAGTAACTGTAGATTTTAGAACACTTTAGAGTTGAGCTTTAAACAAAAACGGGTCTTAACCGTAACCATAGCAGAGCTGTCACTCTGCTATAATTAAGGCACAAATTTAGGATCTAGAAGTCATTTTGACCTTTCACTTGGAGTACAAACGGAGCACAAAAGTATGAAAAATAGCTATAGAATTTATTTTTAAACCTCCATACTTCTAAAGTAGCACAAGAACAGCTTGTTTTGGCCTTCACATTTATCACAGGAAACGGCAATATAAATCTTACCTTGGTGTCTTACTCCACCCTTGTAAAGCATTTAGAGTAATCCTCCTGGGCTGGTTTACTTTAGCACGCTGGCTGGCTGGCTGCATGGGTTTCCTCTCCTCTGAAGATGAAGCTGGAATATGTTTGATGCCAACGGGTGTTGAGGGAGAATCCTTGTTGGTTATTATTGCTGCTGGTGTTTTAGGCTGGAGAGTGAGATTACTTGGATCCAGGGTCCTGTTCGGAGGGGTTCCATCAACTGGCCTGGGGACTGGGGAGACAACCTTGTGTGACTGACTCTTCTTCATTTTCTTCTCTGTTGCACTAGCAGTCGTGACACACACCACTGGTTTCTCTTTCAATGGTACTCCAAGCTCATCCTCCTCAAATGTCACAAAAGAGCAGTATCCATCCGTGGAAGAAATAGCAAGAAAGGATCCATCACTGGACCTGTTTATTTTTTTCAGAGGGAAGAAATCTGAGAAACTGAGCTAGTCCTGACCGCTCTCCCCAGAAACATATCCCATGTCAATCACACAAGTTGCCCCATCCCCAAATAAATGTGTAAATGTAAATAAACCTGAAATGACCTCAAAGACATCATCTAACTCAAACAATCAATAGTTCATGAAGCACAGCCTTGACAATTGATTTAGTTCCTCTGGCTTTGTCTATGGTACGGCATTACCCATTACTAGCAGCAGGTGGGTGCCGCCGAAGTGGTACTGAATACAATTTAACTGCAGGTATACAAATATTCAGCACCTTTTAATCATGATTTCTGACATTCTGCTGAACACAGTTTGCCATAATTTACACTGTAGTTAAACTGTGTTCAGCACTGGTTTGGTGGCATTTCTTGCCCTTTGTGCTGGCACTGGGCAGAAGCCCTGCAGCGATAACATGAACAGGCCCCTGCCATTCACTTCACCAAACAGTGATCACTGGTGAATTAAGAAACCTTAATTTTCTGTTCATGTTCTCATACAGCCCCCCTTCATCATCACACATGAGCATCATTGACAAGTTTTGAAAGAAGCCCCATATCCAGTCCTCAGCTGGAAGGATAGTGGTTACAGTATGGACTAGTGGTTCTCAACCCGCAGGCCGCTTGCAGCCCAATCAGCACACAGCTGCAGCCCATGTGACATCCTCAGGGCCATACAGGCAGTATATATATTGTGTGGATGTGGCCAACATAACACAGGGAGCTGCATATGCAGACCACAACGGTAAATAGGTTGAGAACCTCTGGTACAGACCCTAGAGAGGAAAGATGGTCCAGTGATTAGGGCCGCAGTCTGGGCCATGAAAGACCTAGATTCAGTTCCCAGCTCAGCCACAGACAGAGAGATCTTGGGTAAGTCACTCAGTCTTTTTGGTGCCTCAGTTCCCCATCTGTAAAATGTGGATTATAGCACTGCCCTATCTCACAAGGGTGTCATGAGGAAAAATACATTACAAGATTGCAAGGCACTCAGGTACTATGGTAACCATACAAGTACAATCGATTGATAGATGTGTAAAGTAAGAAATAGGAGGATCCTTTCAGAAAAGATAAGAATGACAGCACGCTCTACCATGACAAATCTAAAGGATCTGTCAGTTACCTACCATGAAATGTCACTCAGAGTATGATAATGTATATTGGATACGTAACCAAAGGGAAAGGACTGCTGTGTATCATAAAAAAGCACAGAATCTTCTGAAGCAACAGCAAACACCAACCGATAGGGGAGATTTATTAGCGCAGGGATGGATTTCTGTGAAGCTTCATCTAGGAGTACAAAGAACACAAGTCTGAGAAAAATCACACAGAGACCACCACTCCATTATAATGGTATTGCTTGTACTAACTTACTTAACTGCTTGAACAGAGTTTTTTCATTGCAGTGTATCAGTACCAACATTCTGGCTGAGAAGATGGCACTTATATTATATAACACTATTTTCAAGTACATGCAATTTTCTGGAAAAGCTACTCTTTGGACTTAAGTTTCTCCTATTTTGTCTTAGCCTAAAAGGTGAATGGTTGGGGAAAGTTTGGTCTTTTTGGCCTTTTTTAAATTATTCGAGTGGGAATGAAAATCCTCCAGTTAAACTATTCAGAAGCTTTTTTTGCACTTTAACTCAAGGTCTGAATAAGCAAATCTCAAAATTTACTTTAAATTACAATCTTACCAGTTTATATAAAACAGAACTTGCTATAATCCATTTTCTTCCTGAATTTCATTTCCTTTTGTAATTTTTAATTTCAACAGTTGGCTAATCTTCTGGGCTAGGAGTTAGTTCTTTGTATGGTTAGAGGACAGATACCGAAGCAACATTTTTCCAGCTGGTGCTAAAAGGCAAGCACTAACTGGCCTTTATTTGCAGCAGTGCTGAACATACACAGGTCGCACTGACTTCCATCAGTGTTATGGAAGCTCAATGCCTTTGAAAAATCAGGCCACTTATTTAATTTTAGGCATCTAAGTTTGTACATTTTGGCCCTAGCCTGGATCTTTTGCTTTCATGAGAGTGTTGTGGAAGCAGCAGCAACACTCTGCTTAATAAAGAACTGACAGGTTGACAAAATCCCATCTAGTTCTCTTCCACCAGCAGCTCTTAAGGTTATGGTGAAAAAAAAATGGCACTAAGTAACAGGATCCTGTAAGGGATACTATAATTTGTGAGTTATGCACTTCAAAGGAGGGGGCCCTATTGTGCTCCAGTTAGAATTGAGGAAATCTGTGCCTTTTAGCAAGAATGTGAATAGTCTTATTTAAAAACCCTAGGGTAAAATCCTGGCCCCACAGACTTCAATAGGGTCAGGTTTTCACTTCCTACCAGCCGGTTATTGTGCAGTTTGTGTACAAATTTCCCCTCACCACAGCTCTGCCAATGCATCCCAGTCCTGACCAGCAACACTAGTGCTATTTCAGTCTTAGCTCTCCTGAAAAAATATCTTCAATTGTTGCAAACTGTGACAAATTTTATAGTGATTCTGTGATGTGGACAATCAGGACTAAAACAATATTTTACGAGGTGATTCCTTAATGCTGAGCCAAGTTATTTATGTTTATCCAGTGAGTTAAAAAAGTTGTAGGAAAACACCATAAGAGGCCAAGTGAGAACATTTATCCACTATACCAAAAATCACTCAAAAGGCACTTAGTGAATTTAAGGCCTTATAATCAGCAAATAGCTTCTTAGTTGTGGTACAACAGTTAATATCCTAAAGGAATGTTAAAAGACTGGGACATAAAATAGTATGACCTGGAGTTACATAGTCAGATTTGCCTTCCAGCAGATTTGCTGTAAAACAAACTCCCCAAAAGGATTTACGGCACCTTTCTTACGTGCTGGTCTCAACTCAAAGTAGACTGGACAGCAGCGAACAGCCAGAGTTGCCTTTCCAGGACAGGGCAGGTGAGCTATGGGCCTATTAAAAAGAAGAAATGTTTTAGAAAATGGCATGTTAAATGGATATATACACAAACACACACACACACACCCACACACACACCCCTATATATTATAAAGAAAATTTAGGTATATTAAATCCTACCTTTTAAGATTTTTTCTCGAAAAAACATACGTAGTATTGGTTACATTCTCTCCTGATTCAACACAGCCAGCTGAGAAAATGAAAAAAAGTTTCAAAGCATTACTCATCAATTCAAAGGTAATAAGCACAGAAACTTACATTTATAAACAAGCATTAGCCTTGTGTCAGAGGACCAGGTTTTTGTGATCTGATCACAACTTGAAAATGTATCCCAAATACTACTTTAAATCTATTTTAGTTTTCCTTATATACTGCTCCAAAACAAGCTTTTTTTTACTTTTGCAAATGGCTGTAACATCAATGTCTATGCAGGTAACAGACCCCGCTTTGCAGCTTTGGTCTTATTAATCGATCAGAATGCTTTTAAGAACAAGGACACAAAGGAGTAGAGTCAGAATCAGTCAAAAAAGAAAATACTCCTTTTTTTTCCTGACACTGCAGCATTGTTGATATACCAGGAATTTCATAAAGAATGCCTTATGCAAGTGTTAACACTGCACTGAAGGTCTGAGTCTCCTGCTGTTGGTTAATAAAATGCCAAACTGATTGCAAATGTATACAGAGGGGTACACTGAATTTAGCCTACTCTGTAAAATAGGGAACCACAGGCTGCTACTACCACCACCAGCAGCAGCAGAATGTAACATGAACAAGATACTGTTAACCCCTTTTGCTGCTGTAGCACGTGGCTGTATTCTGCAACATATCCATGTTCCTCTGACATTTCAAAAGTCATGTACCTGACACAAGGGCAAAGTGCCGCTCCAGGGCTGCCACATGCACCTGGTACATCTTCCTTTCACGTACCTGGAGTGAGAAGCAAAGAGCCGTCAGGAGTAAAACTAAGCCTGCGGAAGAATGATTTCATGCTGTCATCATGAAACATCCGATAGCTTCTCACCTGTAACATTTCAAAAGAGTAAAAAAAAATCTTTAAAGTATCATCTCTGAAAAACACCATTAATTCCAGTCAATACATTTATCTTAAAGTGTGACAATCACCTGGTTATGCGATCCAGTTTAATGGGTCTTTAGTGGGTCTTAAAATAATTTAAGATTTTGCTACCTCCAAATTGTTTTTGTAAACTATTATTTTGTGTGGTTTAAATTCTCTATGGCTAATGGTAGACTCCCTGGATCCCTCTTCATATACTGATTAGCATACTTCAAAGGCATATTAGACTTGACTATTCCTCTCGTTTCCCTCTATCATATTATTATAGCTATTTAAATTGAAGTAGTCACCAGTAAGGGAAACAGATGAAGATACATTTTATTTACAGAGTAGCACTATTGCTTGGGTATAATAAGGGAAAAAAATGCAACTTGATAGATCCAAGAAATTCAGATAAAGAGAACCAAAAATTAAATAAAGACATGGGAATAAAGATACATTTTAAGTAAACAGACAAGTTACAAATTAACTGAATCTAAGAGTCTGTCCCTTAGGTAATCTTACTTTAACTCTAATACTAGAGATTTAAAGATGCCCCCTCAGATCCATTTTAGACCTGATTTTCAGGACAAACAAACCTGCTTAAGGCTACTTCCTAAAGAAAAAAAGATATGCATTCCTTTACAGACAACTCCAAAAAGTTATTTTACTATCTATCATTCAGAGTTAATTTGGGGGGAAAAAACTCTTCTGCTTCCCCCTTGGGATTTGAAACTTTTTACCAATATATTTTCACTCAAAAATTATATTACACCCGCCAGGTGACTGCAAGCTACTGCATTAGTAATAAAAATGTTAATGCAATATTATAACTAGGACTGTCAAGCGATTAAAAAAATGAATCACGATTAATCACGCTGTTAAACCATAGAATACCATTTTTAAATATTTTTGGATGTTTTCTACATTTTCAAATATATTGCTTTCAATTACAACACAGAATACAAAATGCATAGTGCTCAGTTTATATTTATTTTTTTATAAATATCTGCACTGAAGAAAACAAAAATAGTATGCAAGTACTGTAGTGCAATCTATTTATTACAAAAGTTGAATTTACAAATGTAGAGTTAGGTAAAAAACCTGCATTCAAAAAACAAAACAATGTAAAACTTCTAGAGCCTACAAGTCCACTCAGTCCTGCTTCTTGTTCAGCCAACCAAACAAGTTTGTTTACATTTGCAGGAGATAATGCTGCCCACTTCTTGTTTACGATGTCACCTGAAAGTGAGAACAGGCATTCCCATGGCACTGTTGTAGATCAGCGTCACAAGATATTTAGGGCATTTGGCACGTAAAGATTCATATTTCCCTTTAACCACCATTCCACATGCGCCCATGCTGATGACTGGTTCTGCTCAATGACAATCCAAAGCAGTGCAGACTGATGCATGTTCATTTTCATCATCTGAGTCAGATGCCACCAGCAGAATGTTGATTTTCTTTTTTGGTGGTTCAGGTTCTATAGTTTCCGCATCAGAGGGTTGCTCTTTTAAGACTTCTGAAAGCTTGCTCCACACCTCGTCCCGCTCAGATTTTGGAAGGCACTTATTTGGAAGACACAGATTCTTAAACCTTGGGTCAAGCGCTGTAGCTTTCTTTAGAAATGTCACATTGGTACCTTCTTTGCGTTTTGTCAAATCTGCAGTGAAAGTGTTCTTAAAACAAACAACACGTGCTGGGTCATCATCCTAGACTGTTATAACATTAAATATATGGCAGAATGCAGGTAAAAGAGAGCAGGGGACATACAATTCTCCTCCAAAGAGTTCAGTCACAAATTTAATGAAACATTTTTTCTTTTTAAAACGAGCATCATCAGCATGGAAGCATGTCCTCTGGAATGGTGGCCGAAGCATGAAGGCGCATACGAATGTTTAGCATATCTGGCACATAAATATCTTGTAATGCCGGCTCCAAAAATGCCATGTGAATGCCTGTTCTCACTTTCAGGTGACATTGTAAATAACAAGCAGGCAACATTATGTCCCGTAAATGTAAACAAACTTCTTTGTCTTCACAATTGGCTGAACAAGGAGGACTGAGTGGACTTGTAGGCTCTAAAGTTTTACATTGTTTTGTTTTTGAATACAGTTATGAAAAAAAACCCCTACATTTGTAAACTGAACTTTCACGATAAAGAGATTGAACTACAGTATGTGTATGAGGTGAATTAAAAATACTATTTATTTTGTTTATAATTTTTACGGTGTAAATATTAGTCATCAAAATATATTGAGCACTGTACACTGTGTTCTGTGTTGTAACTGAAATCAATATATTTGAAAATGTAAAAAAATCTAAAATATTTAATAAATTTCACTTGGTATTCTATTGCTTAACAGTGCGATTAAACTGCGATTAATTTTTTTAATTGCGATTAATTTGAGTTAATCGCGTAAGTTAACTGCGATTAATCGACAGCCCTAATTATAACTATTAATAACCTTAAGAGCTGCTGCCGGACAGATATCTTTGAAATTATTCCATTTAAAAGAAATTCTCTGTGTACAGACTATTTTTTGCTTCTCTCCCCTTGAACTTTACTTAAGGGCATTAGCATTGTCAATTTGCTAAGTTATGGGAGCAGATGAACTTGCAAGAGACTAGATGACAATATTATTTGTGATAGTCACTTCCACAGTAAACCAAAGTCAGAGAAAACAATATGAAGAAACATCTTCTATTCCACACATTCATACAGCAATAAATGAAGAGACAAATGCAAAAATATCTGATGTACAAGTAAATTATTTCTAAAACTGAATAGTTTTTTTTTCCAAATTTCACTTTCAGAGAGAGCAGCCCTTGTAAAAAACATACCAAGGGTTATCTGATAACATTGTTGGTATTAGAACAGTTTACCTCGCCTTCAGCTCCTGATGGCATCTTGGTAACATTGAACGCTACACGCTTAGTCTGTGTACTGTACACACGCAGCACCCTACATAATGGAGAATATCGTTACCCACAAACAGGTACCTTCTGCACTGAGCAATATTCTTGTCTATTTCATACAGAGTTACAGCACCTTCCTTTTCAATCAGAACTTTCTGGATCCAGTTGACAGTTATGTGACAAAAGGACTTCCTTCTAAAAGGGTAGGAGATTATTACTACTAAATATTATAGGACAGGACATTAACAAATAACCACTAAGGGTATCTCTACCCTACAAATTTTTGCTGCCGCAAGTTTTGTCAGCATAAAGCCACCACAGTTAGCATATTGCTTGTGCGTGTGCATGCTGGGCTCCTTGCATCGGCGCTGCGCACATTCACCAGGAGAGCTTGTTTCAATGCAGTGAGGAGCATCATGATGTGAAACTTGCCACTGTCCAGCACACTGTCTTTTGGGAAGTTTTGGCAATGCACGGTGGGGCAGAAACGAGTTGCGCAGGGGTGACTAGGACTGCAGGGTCAAGTTCCCATCATGCAACTTTCTCCACACCCATGCTATCTCTATCCCATAATTTTCATGTCTTTTTTAAAAATTCCATGCACCTGTGTGACTCTTTTGCTGTCCATGATCTCTCACAGAAGCACAGAGCCTGCACAGCTCTGCACTACTGTCGTCAGCATTGCAAACAAAGGACACACGATCCTCTGGTATTTGCAGAACCATAAGAAGGGCTGCAGAAAACATGGACCTTTGCTGATTTATTCACAGAAGCTTATTTGTGACATGTGTGTATGTGCCCTTGAGGAAAAATCAGGGCTCAAAGTGAAATGGAAATCTGAACAATTTCCTGGGACTTCCCTAGTGATTCCATCAGTTTCTACAGAACATGAACCGTCACTGAAAGAATAAATCATACTTCTAGCCGTTATTGTTGCAGTTTCCTTACGAATGTGAAGGAAAAGGTGTAGGTTAACATGTATCCATCTTTTTTTCTTCAGCACACACTAGCGACAACGGGATAAATATAATTAAAGGGGTGAGACTTTGGTGATAAAAAGGTACCTAAGATCACTAAACTAAGGCACTAGCTACACAATGCCCATGTAATTTCTATAGTCTATGAAGACAGCCCACTGATGTGCTATTTTTCTGCATTACAGAGATTCGGAACACTTTGGTACTAAAGAAATCTCAAATCAGGGATCACTCTCCCAGAGGTTTATTAGCCAGTTGCAAAGTCTATCAAAATAGGATGCATACCCCCAAACAATTTAAGGTGCCCTGCTAAGTTAAAATGAAAAAAATTGAGTTAAACACAGATTTGTTTGCCAAATGACCTTACTAACCAGGCTGCTGAGGGTGGGGATATGGGGTGGGATGAAAAAGAGGGACATTCAGCCCAGAAAAATTAAACTTCTGATATCTTCAGTGATCCAAAAATGCCCAGTGGAGGATCATTTGTTTAAAAGTTTAATTAAAATTATTTCTTTGTTGAATGTTCCCTCTAAGACTTTGGATGCATTCAGCACAGAAATAAATTTGGGATTAACACCAATTCTCACTTCACCTTTGCAGTTCCCTTTGAAGGACCAATGTGAACAGCAATTAAAACTCACATTTCCAGATATTGATACTTGTGAAGTGAAAAGCATTCAGTTCTTTTCTTGACTTAATTAACATGCAACAAAGAATAGTAATAGGAAACACTTAAAACAATAACTCACCTATCACAGCTAAGAGTTGCAATGTACTGGCCGACAGGATCCCATGTTATTCCTTGTACATAACTCTTGTGTTCATTAAAAATTGAAACTTTTTGCCCTGAAAAAGCAAATAGTTTCTAAGTTCCAAAACTCAATTTCTATTTCATAACACACTTTTCATTTCAGAAATAAAACAAGGCCAAGTATTTCAGAATGTAAATTATATATTTTTACACTTAAATAGAGAACATTCTCATAAAGTGTCTTACAATGACGGTAGTGGGAGAAAAGGCTTTCTAATGATATCAACTCAACCCACAAAACTCTCCACCAACCAGGGGATCTGGTGCTGGGAGGCATGAGGGGCCACGCGTTCCCCCACCCACCCCCGTTACACTGCAGAGAGTGGCACTGTGACGGGTTGGATCACAGAAACCTCCCTGAGAGCTGCCACCTGATGTGCCAAGACTACTTCTGCCCCTGCTTTCCCTGCCAGCTCAGGACTCCAGCACCAAGTCTTGCTGAGCCAGACACTCCCGTCTGCTCCAACACAGACCCAGGGTCTGAATTACTTGCCCCAAAGCTGCAGGTTTACCTGAAAACAGCTCACAGAAGTGTGCTTGTCTTTAGCACTCAGTTGCCCAACTCCCAATGGGGTCTAAACCCAAATAAATCCGTTTTACCCTGTATAAAGCTTATGCAGGGTAAACTCAAATTGTTCGCCCTCTATAACACTGATAGAGAGATATGCACAGATGTTTGCTCCCCCACGTATTAATACATACTGAGTTAATTAATAAGTAAAAAGTGATTTTATTAAATACAGAAAGTAGGATCTAAGTGGTTCCAAGTAGTAACAGACAGAACAAAGTAAGTTGCCAAGCAAGATAAAATAAAATGCGCAAATCTATGGCTAATCGAACTAAATACAGATAATCTCACCCTTAGAGATGTTTCAGTAAGTTTTTTCCTCAGACTGGACACCTTCCAGGCCTGGGCACAATTCTTTCCCTTGGTACAGCTCTTATTCCAGTTTAGGTGGTAGCTAGGGGATTCTTCATGATGGCTCTCCTCTCTCTCCCTTTGTTCTGTTCCACCCCTTTATATATCTTTTGCATAAGGCGGGAACCCTTTGTCCCTCTGGGTTTCCACCCCCCCTCACTGGAAAAGCACCAGGTTAAAGATGGATTCCAGTTCAGGTGACATGATCACATGTCACTGTAAGACTTTATTGCCCATTTGCCAGCACACACATATACAGGAAGACTCACAGGTAAAACACAACCATCTGTAGACAATGGTCCTGGTTAATGGGAGTCATCAAGATTCCAAACCACCATTAATGGCCCACACTTTGCATAATTACAATAGGCCCTCAGAGTTATATTTTATATTTCTAGTTTTAGATACAAGAGTGGTACATTTATACATATAGGATGATCACACTCAGTAGATTATAAGCTTTGTAATGATACCTTACAAAAGACCTTTTGCATGAAGCATATCCCAGTTACATTATATGCACTTACATTTTTATAAAACCATATAGACTGCAACGTCACAGGCACCATTGACACTCATGTTTAACATGTATGCAGAGGAATCTGTTAAAAATATTACAAGAAGAGATTCCAGAGTATTACACCTGTCCAACACACTGACTCCATGTGTCACAATGAAGCAGCTACTGTCTCATACTTGTATGGAGGACAACTGCGTACTTTGCAGGAAAAATACTCCAGCATGAGAAGAGTTGCTCAAAGAATTTTTTCATCATTTGGCATAACGAAGCTGCTGCCTTTCACTGTTAAGTGAAGTTTCTTAATAGTTCCCAAGAGGCGGCTGACACTAAAATGATCTTGCATGCCTTCAATGTCACAGTGAAAGATGTGCACACGACACACATGAGCTAGTGTTGTGAGATGCTACCGAAAACTTCCGCAAGATTCGGTTTTTGTGCCTGCTGCTAGGGAACATAATCGCTGTATATTCCTCAGAGATGTGTTCCTACTACTCGGACCATTAAATGCCACCACACTGCCAGGATGTGACACTACTGGAAGACCAAATTGTCTTACCAGAAGGCATTTGATTCATCCTCCTAAGACATTCTCCACCCTTTAAAGGTGCTTGGAATGGCTGAGAATCACTGATGAGGTCATAAATAAACTTGGCATATGAATGCCTCCAGTGTACCATTTGAAGACCAACATTAAAGACAGTTGCAGAGCTACGTATCACAGGGGTAGCCGTGTTAGTCTGGATCTGTAAAAAGCAACAGAGTCCTGTGGCACCTTTAAGACTAACAGATGTATTGGAGCATAAGCTTTCGTGGGTGAATGCCCACTTTGTCGGATGCATGTAATGAAAATTTCCAGGGGCAGGTATAAATATGCTGAGAAGAATCAGTCTGGATGTTGATGGATGTTTTCCAAGAAGTAGATTTTCTCTGTTTTTCTATCAAGAGGGGGAAAATTATCAAGCAATGGAATGGCTCTGGGATGATCAAGTGCGAACTATCCTCCCCTTTTGGGCATGGATAGGTCTTGGATGATGGACTAATCACACCAGTGGATGTGAAATGCCTCGCACTCCAGAAACAATCCTTCCGCTAATCAAATGCTCACAAGAGCAAAGACCAGATGCTCACCACCCGGCAAACATTTGGCCAGCAGCTTGCTTTTTACAGAGATGTACAAGTGTGCTGCAGACGAGAATCAGTGTGACATGTCTAGCAGTGGTGCCCTAGATGGAGACAACACTGACGATGAATAAATATTTTCAGGCCTATATGTCAAGGCTAGCTTCCCTAGAATTACCAAAGATTAATGTCTTCTTTACTTAAGCAATGCATCTCTGTGTTAACGTATAATTTTGAATGTTTTCTCAAATATAAATCTATATAATTGTTCAAAATTTGTCACGTTTGGTACCACTGTGGTTGTGGGAGAAAGGGCTTTTAAAATGGGTATCGACCCATCTCTGACAACACTGTATTATCAAAATTTTCACCACTGGAGGACCTGGAGCTGGGAGGGCAGTGAGTCCCCCCTGCCATGCCACAGAGAGTGACACCATGGAAACTATGATTCTGTAGATTGTGTGAATCAAATTACCCCTCCCTGACCCTTCTGTCTCTAACCTGTCCACAAAATAAGATTTCACTACATCACGCTCCCAGACTAAGAGGTATTTCCACCCCAGCCTCACAAATTCAGGAGATAATTTGACCATATTGTCTTAAAAAAAAAAAAAAAGATGCTTTCGTTATTTCTTAAGCATTAAGCAATTCTACTTATCACAGGATGGATGCCACAAAGACAAATTAGAAACTTAGCAATTACCTTTATTGACATCCCACATTATAGCTGTGTTATCTACTGATGCAGATGCCATGCAGTTTCCATCAGGGGTCCAGCAAATATCGTACACATCCTCTAAGTGGCCTCTGGAATCCGGGGTAGTAGATTGTGATCATTAGTAATAGCAAGAACAAGAGTTATGAACGAAGTCAGATTTTTTAAAAATGTTAAAAGCCTATAACCAAAGGTTATCAATTATTGCAATAGTGAGATGGCCAGCCACTGCTTTTTATTTTTAAGCTATATATATATATATATATTCATTCCTGCTAGTAGGACTAACACACATATAACCCTGCTAACTTCTGTATAACATGGCATCTTTCAAAGAAATAAAAACCCTGAATTCACAAATGACTTCAAATGATGTAGAATTAAATATGTGAAAAATGAACATCCCCAGGAATGTGTGCAATATAGACAACACACAATTGTTCATGTACTACTAATAAATTATATAAATATGAGAAAGGTCACTTTTTCAGAAAACTTTCCTTTACAGATACATTTTTTCCACAAGAAGTGTTCAATAAAAGGTTGGCATATCAAGTGGAGTCATATCAAATCTCAGAATCTAAGTTTAGTTCATATTGCATTTGAACCAATGTCTTCTAATATCAAGTCCAAGTTAGGAGAATCTCCATGAAAAATAAGTTTTAAAAATGGTAAGAATCACTAGCATTATTTTGTAGATTTACACCACAATGTGACTATTTGAATGATAAAATATCGGTTACATTCCCATTTTTAAAAATTCCAATTTTGTTGAGAAAAATTAATTCTAATTAACTTATCTTGGAAGCTGTTCCAGTCTCGTATGGAAATTATACAAAAAATTTTGAAGGCATATTTTATACTATACACACTTTGTACCTATTCAGGTTTATCAGGTAGAGATACTAGATTTTTTTTTTTTGTAAAACAGTGTGAATTACTAATGAATTTAACGACCATAAGAGGTGCAAACTGAGAGAACCTGGAGACCAAAGTGCTCAGTTTATCCACAGATGCTGCTCAAACAGAGGATAGTGTTCCACATATTGTCCCATGAAGGGACAAAAGGTGATTTCAGTTTCCACAGCCTTTCATTCCTTTGCTTCTCCACTGAGAGTGGCAACAGGATGCCATTCAGTTCCCCTGTGGTAGTGGCACTCTGATGTCTTGCCCACTAGGAACTGGACTGAAACCACAACTCATTTCACTTAGATAAATGAACTATTTTAACTGTGAATACACATACATTTTAATAAGCATCATATATAATGTGAAATAAAGGCTATCTTGTATTAGATGAATACATAATAAAAAAATGTAAAAGTAACAATTGTACTACTGTAATTTGCAAATAATATTTCCAGACAGCTGGAATAAGACTTTTCAACAACTCTAAAAAATAGTTTAAACAATTTGGCTGGGACTGACATTTAGCAAACAGGCATGATTCATTTTTATCTTTTGGCACTTTTTTGTTTAATATTTATTATTAAATTACATTCACTATAAATACAGTAATAAAAATGTCTGTTTTCTTAAAATGTCCCTGTGCAAAAGTGGACAAAGACAGAGCTTTTGAAGTACATGATCATATAAGTAGGTGCAGAGAGCTATGCCACAGATATCAGATCTTCTGCCTTAACATCTTAGAAGACAGGGGAAACAGACTGGTACAGAACACCAGCACTCACTGATACTAAATAGGGGCAGAAGTTAGAAAGCATAACAGGAATTAGCTGTGGAGCAGGTGAGTTTTCCAAAAACTGGGAAGGGGATTTGTATATGTTGAGTGGAAGGCCGTTCCAGACATAAAGAGCATCATGGAATGAAGAAAACTCTCAAAAAGCCCAATTAAATTACCTTAAAGTTTTAATTACTGTCCAATTCTCTTTGTTCAGCTGAGCTTCATCTTCATCTTGAAATGCTATTGGTTCTGGTTCTTTGTTATCATTCAATTTCCACAATAAAATCACAGCATCTGTGGAATAATTTGACTTGTTGATAAATTTTTCTGATAATGAATTATTATATTGGCCTTATCCTGCTAACCCAAAGATAGACATGTAATGTGCAACTCAACCAGCAAAAATATTTAGACTAGCCTTGGAGATTTTTTTTGGTGATTGACTGATTTATGTTGATCTAGCCTTTTTCATTAAACAATCTGATTAAGAAGGAAATTTCCAAAGGTCCAAGTGGGAGTCAGGTTCCCAACTTTCAAAGGGTACCTAACTGCCCTTTGTGCCTTTGGAAATCTTCCCTTAAAATATGACACATTTGTGTCAAACACAATAGAGAGCTATCCAATCCCTTTGGTCCTGAGGATAAAGCACTGGTCTGGGATTCAGGAGATGGATTTAATTTCACAACTCGGCCACAGAGTCCCTTTATGATACTGGGCAAGCTGCTCAATGCCACATCTGTAAAACAGGAATAATTCTTTCACATCTGTAAAACAGAGAAAATACTTCCCTATCTCACAAGGAGGCTGGAGGAATAAACTCATTAGGGTGTGTGGGGGCACTCATGAACCACTGCCCTCCCTATCACCATAATACATTAGGGTGTGTGGGGCACTCATGTATTATGGTGATAGGGAGGGCAATGGTTCATACAAACCCAAAGATAGACACTTTCTGTGCTCATTTTTACATGAGATGTATGTATATTCTTTATATTCGTCTTTATTATAATGTTACTCACCATCTCCTCCTGATGCTAAAATCTCACCACTGGGAGAGAAACGCACAACATTCACTGCTTTGGTATGGCGAGCTAGATTGGACAAGAATTCCACAATTGCTTTCCCATCTGGTCCTTTTTCCACTTTCCATATCTAGTTATAAAAGTATTACAGATAGTAAATTGGCTTCTATACCTGAAAATTGATCTATTTTCAGTTTTGTAATTAGCGTGCACCATTTTCTTCAGTTCAGTTATTTATATATTTTACAAGGAGACAGGAGGAGTGCAGTCATTCAAAAAATTTCAAAACCCTACCCAAACTAGATGAAATTAGGAAGAAGCAGATTAGCCAGAACTTGAAGACTAAACTCAAACTGATAGAGTTCATGCCCCACGTTCACATAACTGTTCATCTGAGTCACTTACTCGTGGGCAGTGGAAAACCAGAAGAATGTGAAATTTTAAAGTAAAATTAAATTCCTTGGTAGTTATCTTGCACACACTAAAATCAATGAAAGTTTGGAACTCACACGAACAGCAGTGTCTACTCCTGCTGAGGCCAGTCGATTTATTTTCCCATCAGTTCCATGTTGGAAGTCTAAACTATACACCGGCTCTTTGTTGTGCCATGCTATTTCACAAGTAATGACCTTCATTCTTTCTAAAGGAAAACAGGGCAAGAATCAGATATTTTGCATTTATTATGACAAACATTATAATCAAAGTTAACAATACAGTGTCGACAAGCACTATGGAAATAAGAAAAACATTACAGCAAAGCACAAAAGATGACTACGTTTAAGTAACTATGGTTTATAATAACTGAAGTTTTCTGTAAGAACATTCTCTGAAAAGGTTGCTAAGCCATGGCTCTCCACTCCATTACTAGAAATCTTATGACGACAGAGGTAGTTGTGCTGGAACAGTGCTTAGGTACATTTTCTTTGGGCATATCATTTTTCCCATCCCCAGACCTCAAAGTGGTTGAATTCTTCATGCTGCTCTGATCCCTCTATTCCCTGCTCCGACGGCAACACAAATCTTGCATACATTGGTGTTTGAATCACAAGCATTGCCAAAGCGGCAAGAGTAATTAGTCCTGAGGGCATTCTGCGCCAAAAATTTAAAAATTCTGCACCAAAAAAATAAAAATTCTGCACACAGTATTTTAAAATTCTGCAAATTTTATTTGTCAAATAAATGTGGAGGCTCTAGCATGGCATTAGGAAGCACAGGCCACTGGCTGCACAGAGGTGGGAGATCATTGTGCAGCTCTCCCGCCGCGACACAGACTCAGCGGTGAGGCAGCACCCAACCCTGATACAGTGCAAGGACTGGGTCTGCCCCAGAAACATCCCAGGGCCCTGCCCCTCTGTGACAGGTGCACCAGGTGTGGGCAGGCAGGCTCAGTAAGGCAGGATCCAAGTGTGGAGGGGCTTAGTGCGGGGAGATCCAAGTGTGAGTTGAAAGGGTTTGGGGGGGGGGCGCGCAATCTGGGTGTGGGCGGCTCAGTGGGGAATCCAGATGCACAGGAGCTTGTTGGGGGGTTCTGGGTGCAACGATAATGGGACTCTGCAGGGGGGTCCAGGTGAAGGTAGTTGGGGCTCAGCAGGAGGAGTGTCGGGGGCGGGAGTGGGAAGAGAGCTTGGCAGGAGAGTGTGTGGGGCTCAGTGGTGGGGTCCAGATGCTGAGGAAGTGGGGCTCAGGGAGTGGGAGGGAAGATTCAAGTGCAGCTGGTTGGCTTGGTACGGTGGGGATCTGGGTGTGGGTGGTCCAGGTACAGGGGGAGTGGGGCTTGTTGAAGGGGTTCTGGGTGCGGGGGGGGAGTGGCGCTTGGTGGGAGGGTCTGGATGCAAGGAGGCTGGATGGATGGAAGAGCAGCTCCCTTTACAGGGATCCCTCCCCCTGCAGATGAGGAGCGATGGGTGCAGGAGTGCAGGAAGCACGGTGGGGGGAGGGGGGAAGAGTTTGCAGAGCTTCTTACAACCAGGGGAGAAATCTGGGGGTGGGTCTGACACAGCCCCGGATGCTGTGCGAGGAAAGAGGAAGTCCCATCCTCCCCAGCCCAGCCAGGACTAGCAGCTGAGCCTGGCACAGGGTAGGAGCCACCAGCTGAGTCTTCCCCAGTCCCGCCCCTTGCCCCACAGTGATTTACTTCTGCCGGCTACCCTGGACACCCAAAACATACTGCTGGGGAGGGTCGCATGACCGTTCTAGTGGCTTCCTTTTGCTTCCCCATCAGAAAGTCATTTTTCTGCAGGGAAGCAAAAAAATCTGCAGGGGACATAAATTCTGCACATGCGCAGTGGTGCAGAATTCCCCTAGGAGTAAGTAATGCTAGAAACATGGCAAGCAGTGACAGAGGGAGGAGTAAAAGAGGAATTCACCAGTTAGTGCAGACCTCATGGACCATAAAAGTTATCTGCATTTTAAGGGGAAATTATCAAGTAAAATGAAGAGAAAAGAATTAGCATGTTGGAGTGGGAAGGGAGATGAAAGGATAGAAGAAAAAAAGGGAAGTAGAGACAGAACAGAACAAAAATCATTCCTCCTAGGAACAGAGGGGCTTGTTAGTCACAGAAAAAATGCTATGCCTCAGCAATAACAAAACAACACTCACTTACCTAGCAGCTTTCTTCCAGAGGTCTCAACGAACTTTGCACATCACCACTGTTCTACAGGAAGACTGAGGCACTCAGCTGAGAACTGTCACACAAAGCCTGAGGTGCACAGTTAAAGGTTTGAATCAAACTGAAGTAAAATATGCACTCGTTTGCCAAACAGAGTATGAAGTTTAAGAGGAAGGTGAAGCAAGTCAAGCTGACAAATCCCTGCAAATGAAGAGGCCTCCTTCAAAATACTCCATCTCTGGAACAAAACCCACCCCCGGAAACATTAGCCTGACAAGAGAGCCCTGGAGCGACACAAACCCACCCCGGGACACAGGGCACTCTAGGACGTCACAGCAGGGCGGAATGCGGCCCTTTAGCCGCCCCTCACCAAACCCCATCGCAGCAGAGTTGGGCTCTGTACGCCCAGCATGTCACATGCACCCCGCAGGCGGCCCCTCCTCCGAGCCCCGCGCCTGCACCCCGCGCCCCAGCTCCCGTCCGTAGCGCCGCGGGGGGGGGGCGCCCCTACCTGAGGCTGGCGCGCGCGGAGTAGGGGAGGCGGGTCCGGCCGGCAGGCGAGGTTCACCTTTCCCGCGCGCGCGCCGCGGCTCCCCCGCAGCGACCGCGCATGCGTCCGATAAAGGCCGGGTCCAGGGAAAGGGACACGCCCGCCGCTGACTCGTTCCCGGGGGACGTTACGGGGCAACAGCGCCATCTGCTGGGCAGCGCCGCTGCGTTCCGCCTCGTGCCTCCCCCGCGCCCCGCTAAACCCAGAGCCTCGGTCCCAAGCTACGGGGCACAGCTACAAGAGGGCGGGGGGGGGTGTATTACGTGTGTGTGCGTAGAGGTGGGTGGGAGAGAAGGGACAGGGTATCTGTGTAGGGGGAGCAAGTTGTGTGTGTATGGGTGGGAGGGAGCAGGGTTTGTGTTTAGGGCCAGTGACTGTCTAGGAGTTGGAGGGGGCAGGGTGTGTGTGTGCAGGGATGGTAGGGGGGAGCAGGGTGTGTGTGTAGGGGCAAGTGTGTGTGATGGGTGGGGGGAGCAGGGTGTGTGTGTGTGTAGGGGCAGGGTGTCTTTGTAGGGGTAGGGGAGCAGGGTGTATGCATTGTCGTGGAAAGAATCACCCACACAGTGATTTAGTTCACAGACTCAGAGCCTGTGGCCTTTATTGCAATACATACCAACGCGCTGGCTTGCAGCTCGGAAGCTGGCACCCCGAACAGCAGCACGCAGGCTGCTTTTATTCACTAAAACCACAAGCATGATACAATTAATACGTCATTAGTTAAGAAATTAAGAACCAATCATAAGCTGGGCATATAGTGGACACGAGCTCAGGGACAAATCACAAGCCGGGCTTGGGGTGAACACGCGCTGATCACGAGCTGGCGTGTTGGGTTGGGGTCACTCTTCCCTCCTCCCCTCGCCCTCTTTCTTAATGTTCCGAGAAGTGGGTGTAATTGGGCATGGGGACATTCGGTGGTTTTCCGCAAGGGTGGTGCTCGGCCCTAGCTTGGGTACATTTCTTAAGACTATTTTTCCGGGGGATTTCGGTAAGAGCTAAGGGGGGTTTTTCGAGGGACGCTTAAAAGAGAGCTATCATTGGCTGGTTTGCAGATAGCTGGAATTAGAGAATTATTGCAAACAATAGTAGCAGCAAGGATGATTAGCTCTTTGCAGACCAATGTCTCAACATCTAGCATCTTGCGGTTATCATATTTCAGTAACACTGCGAGTTTATCTCTCTAAAGCTTGTGATTATCATATTTCTAAAGCAGTTAGCTCACCAACAGACTTTATGCAGACTCCCTCCTTACTATTTAGTTATATTAAAAGAACATTATGTTGTGCAGTTTGGTTCAGGCTTTTAGGCCTGCTCCAGTTCTGGGCAAAGGTTATCAGTGTAACAGGCTTCTGTAGGAGGGTCCGCGTCGGAGTGTGGTGACTCATAGCTTAAGCTGTTATAGTAAAGAAGACCCCCCTGTTCTGTTTCCCCACAGCATATAGTGGCAGAGCGTGTGTGTTGCTTTACAGAATGATGGAGATTCAAGTGTATTTTCCTCTGTTCATTCAGTCCCCTCCCATGGCAAAGTGAAACTTTCTCGAGTTCAATCGTTCCCCTAGAGTGGGTCAGATAGGAAAAGGCCCTTCCCCATAATCGCTCCAGCTGTCTGCTCCGTTCTTTCAGGCTCCTGTAAGCCATTCCAGGTAGGTGGGCGCTGGCAGAGCCGTGGGGCTAGCACAGCCATAGGGATCCTACCCTCTATAGAGCAGCAGGGGGTCTTTTTTGTTAGAGACAATTGCTTAAAGCACATTTTCCTATGTAAGTATTAAGGGGGTGGGGGCATTAGAGAATACCGAAATGGTAACAGAATTGAAACGGTTGCACTGCTCTTATGATTATTTAAATTAATTGTACCTAACCCGACATGGACTCCTCATCCATAGATCACAAAGCACTTTATAAAGCTGAGTATTGTCCCCATTTTACAGGGTGGCAGAGGGGTTACAGCACCGGATCTCAACTTTGTTTTTGGAATTTACACCATTTCCTAGTTGCCAAATTTTGTTAAGTTCCCTTAGTGGCATTTTATGCAAATTATGTAGCAATCTAATTTGCATTCTTGCAAGTTTTCATAGGACCATACGCTTCATCTGATGGCCAACACATTCTGCCCAGAGCAGTAGCAGGATGTCAGGTGACATGAAATTGCACAAAACTTGGCAATTAGCCCCAGGGCTGCTAGACTACTGAGTGGAGGAGGGTGCCTGGTGTGTGTAAAGGGTGGATGCTAGGCTGTCAAGGTGGGTGATTGCTAAAACTGTGGGGAGAGGGGTGCTGGAGTGAGTCAAATTGCTAACAGGTGTTTGGGGGTCAGTGGCTGGCTGTTTGGGAAGGAAGCTGGTTGGGAGCTGGCTGAGGGACTGGCTGGAGACAGCCTGGCACCTGTTCCTCATCTCTTCCCCTGGGTCTGCTGCTGGTACCATCTGTAGTCGTAATACAACAGGGAATATGGTGTGAGGCGAGACAGAGGCTGGGTGCAGACCCCACAGCAACTTCTGCTGTACTCAATTAACAGTTACAGCCTTTCCTGTAGCCCATCTGAATGCATGATGTTAGAGTTCAGTATTCACAACCCCAAACGTTCAAAAATAATGATTCAAACCCTAAAATTGTGAGACTTTTACAAAAGCCCATGATTATGTGCCAAAGATTAAATGGTGTTTTGGTCTGTCTTCTGACTTTTGAATTCCTTTTGCTCACCCCCAAATGTGTATCATAATTACAAAATGGCCAACCCTTGCAAATTTATGTCTCGCTGTACTTAACCTCATACCAAACATGTTATGTGGGAACAATTTTTAATCCTTGCGGAGCTGGGCACAGTTGAAACAAATGACCTAGTGCGGAAATGCTCTGTAGCAGTGGTTCTCAAAGAGGGGTAGGAGTACCTGTGGGGGTATGCAGAGGTCTTCCCAGGGGTACATTAACTCATCTAGATATTTGCCTAGTTCTATAACAGGCTACATAAAAAGCACTAGCAGAGTTAGTACAAACCAAAATTTTATGATGTGTTTATATTACTCTATATTCTATACACTGAAATGTAAGTACAATATTTATATTCCACTTTATATTATAGATTAAAAATGAAAGTAAGCAATTTCAGTAATAGTGTGCTGTGACACTTCTAGTTTTGTCTGATTTTGTAAGGAAGCAGTTTAAGTGAGGTGAAACTTGGGAGTACATAAGACAAATCGGACTCCTCAAAGGGGTACAGTAGTCTGGAAAGGTTGAGAGGCACTGCTCTGTAGCTCAAGTAGTAATACCCTAAGTCACTCAATCTCCAATAAGTGCCAATGTTACACCTTTCAGAATGAGGATTACTTTCTGGAAAGATAAGTTATTAAACGTAAGTTCTGGCCTTTTTGGAGCTTACACAGCAAGAATCTACTCTTTGGTTACACAGAGAAAGTCTTCCATGGATTACTCTGAACCAAACATAAGTAAAAATACAGCAGTAAAGTATATATTAGTACAACATCCAATTTCACTTCCAAATATATTTTGCAGTATAAAATCATTTCAACAAGTGCTTCAGGGCTCTTAAACTGAGTTTTATATATAATGTATTTTTTCCACCCTATCTGGGTCATCTGCAAGGTTGGAACCCACTGCCTTCCAGTCCACAGGACAGACCTCTTCCATGTCAAGATATAACTAGTGGTGGTGCTGGTGTGTGCGCACGGGGTGGAGTATGCTGATATTCTTTACATGGACTAGCCCTTACAGGGAGGGATGGCACATTGCCAGTGGGTTACACACAAGCTTTTGTGGAATGCTGGGCATTGGGAATCTTGGTTTCCATTGCTGGCTTTGGGAGCAGCGTGTGATCTAGTGCAGGGGTAGGCAACCTATGGCACATGTGCCAAAGGCAGCACGCGAGCTGATTTTCAGTGGCACTCACGCTGCCTGGGTCCGGGGGGCTCTGCATTTTAGTTTAATTTTAAATAAAACTTAAACATTTTAAAAACCTTATTTACTTTACATACAATAGTTTAGTTATATATTAGACTTATAGAAAGAGACCTTTTAAAAACATTAAAATGTATTACTGGCACACGAAACCTTAAGTTAGAGTGAATAAATGAAGACTTGGCACACCACTTCTAAAAGGTTACCGACCCTTGGTCTAGTGGTTACAGACTGGATAACCAAAGGTACCTGTGACAGATTTGTCCTGGGTATTGCAGGAAACTGCTCAACCTTCTTGAAGTTTGTTTCATAGGCTATGGATTGTATGCAATTCCATGTGGGGAGGGAGACCAGAGTCTTCCAGGAACCAAGCTGAGTGGAGGGGTGGGGTTAGGCAAATTCACTCCAGTTGTAACACTTCCAGAGAGCTAGCACTGACTGGAGTCTTGCATATACTTGTTCAAACTGAACTCTCCAGGGACCAAAAAAGAAGGAATTTTGTTTAAAGAGGTAAAACTAATGGAGAGCTTTCCTTCTAATCCAGCAAATGGGGAGGGCCCCAATCCTCAGGAAAGTGTTGAAAGGACTGACAGACTAGAGCCCTTGTGGAAGATGGGGTGTGATCTCTAGTAAGTTTAGTGTATGTGTACATTCTTTTATTGTTTTAATGTTTTTTCTGTATTTTTTTTACTTTAAGAATAAATGTGCTTGCTTAGAAAGAGCTGTGTGGTAACTTAATTGTGGCACTTACACTGTTTATAGTCCCTGACAAGAAAAGTAAAACAGGCCTGCTTAGGTAGTCTGACTGCTGGGGAATTCACAGTACAGGCAGGGAACTGTGCAGCCTGGAAATAACTTCATTAGGAGGGAGAGAGATGTGACAGCTGGGAGCTTAAAATGGGTGCCCTTGCTGGACCACAGAGTGGGAGCAGAGATGCAGTTGCTCTGAACTGTGACAGTACCAACATCCTTTGTTTAGGAAATCTGGCATTGAACCTGGGACTTCAGAACATGAAAACACTAGCCTCCAGCACTGGAGTTAAAGAATCAGGTCTCTTAGCATGGAAGTAGAGTCAAACATCTATATGTGGTCTAACTGCTAAAGAGAG